CACAGCACAGAGACAGAGACACAGTAGAGACACAGCACAGAGACAGAGACACAGTAGAGACACAGTAGAGACACAACCTGCTAATCCAGAGGTTTGATAATAACCTCCACATTACCTGCCGGGTGGTTGTACAGAGGTCTCAGTTTGCCGGGCAGCATATGCTCGATCTTGTCCAGGATCCTGTGATAGGAGGCTCTGAGTGCAGCCATGATCGCAGGACAGAGTGAATTCACTGAGGGCAACCTGGAGCTAACGACAGATAGCTCAATGCTGGGCTAGCTAAGGACCTTTCTTTAAAACTACACAGTTTAAAAAGTGTTTGAGTTCGCCTGTTGGCACGACGTCGTGGAGTCAGTAAATGGCAGGTAGTTTAAAGGATAGGTGAGGATGCTGCTGTCCTACTGTCGACCTTCCCCGGCTCCACTAGGACCATGCTAGCACCGCTAGCTCGTCTGTAGCTTCTGTCTGACGGACACGAAGAGGTGACTTTCTCTACGGCTCAACCTACCGCGTGAAGGGCGGGGTTTCAGGTTTACTCTGTTCTCATTGGTCGGCCTGGTCAGAGCCCCAATCTGATTGGTTGATGTAGGATTGTTACTTTTCCTGCCCGGGCTTTCACAACTGGGTGGAGACAAACGTCTGATTTATTCAGGGTTTATAATGAGATTATCAATATTATTAACACACTCTGGACCTGACTGTTAACGATTATATTTATTTATATTATTACATATTTATTTATTTATTATTTTTTTTTAATTATCTTCCAAATGTACAAAGTAATACCAATGTTGCACTGAGATAAGATTTTTATTTTATTGATCCCACAGCGGGAAAAATTTCAATCGAACACAAAAAGAGTGATAGAGACACACAAAATACACATTAAATAAAATAAATAGAAGATATAATAGAAACATAGAGTTATATACAGTATACAGCCATACATGTGCACTTGCACAGATTATTGCCATGGTGTGTTGTACCAAGTATAAAAAGTATAAAAAAAGATAAATGAAATTGGACAAAGATTACAGCAGTAGGTGCACAGCGTAAATAAATATAATTGCACAGAAAAAATAATTGTACGGTGTAAATATAGTTTAAATGAAATGTATATAATATATGATATATACAGAGATGTATAATTGCACAGTACAGATATAATAATCCTAAACTAACATCCTCCTCTATGGGGGCAGTTTGTTGATGAACACTTTGGTTATAAAAAAGTGGAAAATGTAATTACAATGAAACTATGAATATAGTTTTAAAACATATAACATATATATAAAACATATAACAAGACCATAAGACAAGAAGAAATAATATGTAGTTATGAGGACCCCCAATCTTCTTTAAGATGAATATTTGATGCATACTATTTAAGAGTGACTAAAATACAGTGAAACAGTCAGTATTACACTATTTTCCTGTAGAGTCTTTGAGCAGGACTGGATTACTAAATGTAGGTTTAAGTTTTGGCTTGTGGGCCCCCAACAGGTCAATTTGGTCCGGCCATCGAGGACTCTGGAAAACAAGCAACAAGTTGTCAAACAACCTGCCTTTCTTTGCACCTTCTGCAAAGTCAGAACCCTCCGGTGTCAACATCAGAGAACGGCAGTAAGTTTGATTTATTTACATTAAAGACAAGATGAGAGATCCTAGAACTAACATATTAAATATATGTGATTAAATTGATCTATAATCCTTAACAGTGCAGCACTTTATGAAGTTGTAGTCTGCCCGGGGAGAGTCAGAACTTCAGAGGCCCTGTTTGTTTACAGAATCTAATGTTCACAACTATGTTTTCATTTGTTTATAATCATCTGAATATTAGAATTCTTATGTTTTTATTACTTTATAATGAGCCTTTTATATCAGCAGACACTGCGGGTCGCCTTCCATGGAGTACACCATGTTGAACCACCATGTTTCTACTGTAGCCCAGAACGGACAAACCAAACTCTGTGTTTCTCCTTCACACTTGGGGGATGTGAAGCGAGGGGGTTGCAATCGACAACTACACAGTTATATGTCACTAAAGCTTACACGTTGGTCCTTTAACTAATTTGCATTTGGCAGAAAGTTATTAAACATGCACGAATGAAGGAAAACATCAAGTGACATTACAAATAAAACCTTAATAAGATCCTGTTTTATTAAACGTCTGCTCCCACCAGGGTTCCTGTGTCAAAACAGAGAGTTTAAACACAGATTAGGTTATAATTTATGTTCTATTGTTCTGAAATTACTGTGTTAAATCAATGAAATGACAGTCAGTCTGTGGTCAAGCAGTGTACTGTACATACTGGGGGATTAATGGGGGCTCAATATTCACACCAGGGCGGGTTGAAACCGGTCTTCTCTGTGATGAGATTGACTCACAAACATTAATTACACGACAGACAGAAACTGAGGCTACTGTGCCCAGTCATAACAATAAAATCTTAAAAAAACTGTTCAGCAGACAAGAACTTTCCCGAGCCTGTCTGGACGCACTCCGCCCCGGCAGCTGTGCGGCCTCTTAAAACGAGCGCTCCTTGGAAACACGTAGTTTATCGCGTTGTTTGGACACAGCTGTCCGCTAGAAGAAATACACCAGGCTAGGCTAGCAGGACGAATAGATAGCAGCGCAGAGAGCAGCGATACGGTCGATGTAAACCGAGGAGGACAGCGGACAGCAGCGAGTCTTTCTCCGCCGCCGCCGCAGACGTTCAGTGTCGCAGCTCGGTAAAGGCAGCACCGTCCGGACGCTCCGGGACCTAAACACCGCCAACACCGAAGAGACGATAAATAACAGGCGACATCAACAAGAAAGCGTTAGCTTAGTTTCAATGTTATTGTTAATTAAAACCCACATATGCTCACAATGTCCTGCTCTGGAAACCTGGTTTGGGATGTAAATAAACGCTTAATTGGATACAACGAGCCTAACGCCATCAGGACCAACTATTTAGGTAAGGAGAGAACAAGCCTCTTTTAATGCTAACCGCCACCGAGGGGAGATTAAACACTAAACTATTTAACAGGTTAACTGTAGGTGGGTGTCTGTGGTGCTGGATCAGATGAAGTGACAGCTAGAGGTAACAGGACTGAGCCCCCCCCCCAACAACAACAACAACAACATCAGGATATCTGCTTAATAACAGAGAGCTGCTGAGTTACTGCTGCTCCTGCAAAGTCACAGCCGTGCACTGTGGATACACCACTCACTGTGGATGGGACAGTCCTCAGCTGAAGCACTATGTGAATACATCCTTAATAATATGCAGCTCTTTGTGAGGTGCATTCATTTCCTCACTCTGATACTGCATGGTTTTGGTTTTCTGCACAGGATATCACAGATTCTGCCATTGATGATGTGCAGCAAAGCGAACTATCTACAGGCTGCATCTTATATACAAGTATAACCGCAAAATGATAACAAATAAAGCAGTTAAAGCTAGGGTGAATCACGTAATGTGTGTATGAAGGTGGAGTGCATTATAAAGTGCTTTCAGTTGTGCAGGAATGTGTAAACATAAGAAGTGAAACAGCACTCATGGTAACATACAGTACACTCCTGTGTCACATAAACAACTATAAACTGAAGAGTTAACGGCTCTGCGGGGAGATTCATCTGCATAAACTGAATGTTTTCCTTTATCTGTCAGAAATAATGTTTTTATTATTGTGTTTTTGTTGATAAAAAACCGGTGATGACTGGTTGAAGTTCAGCACGCTGCACAGTGAGGACATTTATTAATACAAGAAAGATTTACAGCCTACTGTATGTATGATTGTGTAACATTACAGACCCAAGAATCGATCATATCAGGCCAATATATAACGCTGATTATGGTTATTATGGT